TTCATTCCAAATTTTAAATATAGATGTATATGTGACTAATACTAATTTGATTCGTCAGGCATTTGAATCCGACCACGTATGGAGATTATCCACAATCCATGAAGGATCATGTCGGACATCGACTACCGAAATTTACTGAGGCACAAAAGGAGAAGTTGAAGAACTCTGCTGATTTTGTAGGTATCAATTACTACACTTCGATGTTTGCATTGCACGACGAAGAGCCAAATCCTTCGCAACCGAGTTGGCAGAGTGATTCTCTTATCGATTACGAACGTAAGTCTCATTTATATTTTTTGTGAACAATATGCGTCATACAAACTTGAATATGACACACAAACCACTAGATTTTGCCAAAGACTCGTATTTTCTCATAATTTTGATATACAATTTAGAGTATTTTCAAAATTCTCGTGTATTATACTCCCCCCTACTTTTTTTCAGCAAGGTATGTGGATAGATTCAGTGCTTTTGCTAGCAAGGTATGTGATTTTCTTTCTGGCTATTATTTACGTAAAATTAAAATATTAAAACTGATCTGTTATTTAATACTTTGTTTTTTTGTAAGCCTGATGTTGCTAAAGTGGAATTTTACGCAAATGGTTTGAGAAGCCTTTTGAAATACATAAAAGATAAATACGGCAATCCTGAAATCATGATCACCGAGAATGGTAAGATAAACGTTTATCTAACTTCTTAAATCACAAGAATCGATTTCGAATTAACTTCTTTTATAAAAATATATATATAAAAGTTGAGTTTTGAATGTTTGGTTTAAGGATACGGAGAGGATCTAGGCGAGCAAGACACAAATCTTGTTCTGGCGCTCTCAGATCAGCACAGACAATACTATATTCAGAAGCATCTCTTGAGCTTACACCAAGCAATTTGGTTTGTGAACAACATCATGTTTTCGAGTTATATTTTTATAAGAATGCTATTTTATTTCAGTGTGACAAATGTTTATTTCTTCCGGTTTTTTCGCAGCGAGGATAAAGTAAACGTTACAGGGTATTTTCTTTGGTCTTTGACGGATACTTTCGAATGGCAAGAAGGGTACAGCGCGAGATTCGGGCTTCATTATGTCGATTACAAGAATAATTTGACGCGCCATGAAAAATTATCTGCGCAATGGTACTCGAGTTTTCTCCAACCGATACCGAAAGAGTTTGAGCTTGAGCACGATGAGTTGTAGAGTGAATTCTCTGCAATAGACTTTGAAAATTTGAGTCATAAATTATATTCACAAACCCGTTTGTTTACGATTAACGTATTTCCATATTCAATTAAATAAATCAGATAATCAATATAAAAACAAG